AGTGTCTTCCCCTGCAACCAACAAACCATCTTTTACTGCCACCCCCAACAGCCAGTGCCTTCTAACAGCCCATAACTTCAAGCCAGTGCTCCCCCTTCTAGTGTCCTGCATCCAGTGGCAAGGGGAACAGACAGCAACATCCAGCCACACTGGTCATTTATAAGTTTTAACACCTTACTAGTGAACACTGACCCACTTCCCCAATTCTGCTATCTATGAGCCTGCATAAAAGCCTATTGCCACAGTGGGTGGGGCTTTCACACTCCTGGGACAGGTGCCTGGATTTTTAGAGCTGTCAGGTATGACAACAGGAGTGGGTGATGTGCAGAAACTGTTCAGGAAGGACAGGCAGGGGAGAAGAGTTGCACTTTATGTAAAAGGGCCGTAAGATTGCTCAGAGCTCCAGCGTGCAACTGGACATAGGCATACTGGAAATCACTGAGATAGTGTCAGAGAGGAGAGCAACAAGAGAGATGTCATGGTGGGGGTCTGCAGCAAACCACCAGACCAGGAGAATGAAGTGAATGAGGATTTATTCGGAGAGCTAGCAGAAGTTTCCAGGTCAAAGGCCCTGGTTCTCATGGGGGACTTCAATCACCCTGACATCTGCTGGGAGGGCAAATCAGCAGTGCATAGGCAACCCAGGAAGTTTTTGGAGAGCGTTGGAGACAACTTCTGGGTGCAAGTGTGGAGAGGCCAACTAGGGCCATGCTCTTTTTGACCTACTGCTTACAAACAGAAGGATCAGTGGGGAATATAGTAGTGGATGGAAACTTGGGCAGCAGCAACTATGAGATGACTGAGTTCAGGATCCTAAGGAAAGGAAGGAAGAAGAGCAGCAGCAGAGTAAGGACCCCGGACTTCAGAAAAGCAGACTTTGACTTACTCAGGGAACTGATGGGGAGAGAATCCCCTGGGAGGCCAGTGTGAGGGGGAAAGAAGTTCAAGAGAGATGGCTGTATTTAAAAAACAAATCAACTCCCTCTCCCTACACAAAACCCCCCCAACAACCCAAAAAACAAACCAAAACCAAAAAAAAAACCTTACTGAGGGGATGCAGGAACAAAGCATCCAATGTGTAGGAAGACTAGCAAGTATGGCAGAAGGCCAGCTCAGCTTAGCAGGGAACTCTTCAGTGAGCTAAAACACAAAAAGGGAGCTTATAAGAAGTGGAAACTTGGACAAACAACTAGGGAGGAGTATGAGAGTATTGCTCAGGCATGCAAGGATGAAATCAGAAAGGCCGAAGCAAAATTGGAATTGGAACTGGCAAGGGATGTGAAGGGTAACAAGAAGGGTTTCTACAACTATGTCAGTAACTAGAAGATCAGCAAAAGTGTAGGTCCCTTACTAAATGGCAGAGGCAACCTAGTGACTGATGATGTGGAAAAGGCTGAAGTACTCGATGCCTTTTTCACCTCAATTTTCACAGGCAAGGTCAGCTCCCAAACTTGGAGCTAGCAGCACAGTTTGGAGAGGAGAAGAGTGGTTAACAATGGCAAAAGAACAGGTAAGGGACTATTTAAAAAAGCTGGACACGTACAAGTCCATGGGGCCAGACACGATGCACCCGAGAGTGCTGAGGGAGTTGGCTGATGTCACTGCAGAGCCGCTGACAATTATCTTTGAAAACCCATGGTGATCAGGAGAGCTCCTAGATAACTGGAAAAGGGCAAATATAGTGCCCATCTTTAAGAAAGGGAAGGAGGAGAATCTGGGCAATTACAGAATGGTCAGTTAGTCTCACCTCAGTCCCTGGAAATATCATGAAACAGGTCCTCAAGGAATCAGTAGGTCAAAAAGCACTTGGGAGGAGAAGGTGATTAAGAACAGTCAGCATGGATTCCCCAAGGGCAAGTCATGCCTGACCAACCCGATTGCCTTCTATGATGAGATGACTGGCTGTGCGGATGTGGAGAGAGCAGTGGACATGATATACTTTGACGGTAGCAAGGCTTTTGATATGGTCTCCCACAACAGTCTTACAAGAAAGCTAAGGAAGTATGGGTTGGATGAATGGATTGTAAGCTGAATAGAAAATTGGCTGGGCTGTCAAGCTCAAAGGGTAGTAATCAATGGTTCAATGTCTAGTTGGCATCGCCCCAGGGGCCA